TTTTTTAGAGCTCTTTGGCTTTTGTTTCGTTGGTTCTTTTGATCATTCGGTCTCTTTTGGTAGGTGAATTATTCTATTCACGCCTTGGTGGCTCAGGTGGAGAGGAGCTCGAGGCAGGCGCGAGCTGCCGAAGAGGCTCGTCGTGCTGCCGAGGAGGCTGCTCGTGCTGCTGAAGAGACTGCTCGTTTTTCCCAGATCAGTTAGGCGAGGTCTCAGAGAGATGCCGAGGCCATGGGAGTGGTGGTGAAGCACATGGCGGACTTGAGGCTAGATCTGCAGCATCAGGTCGAGTATCTTCAGGAGGACATCAGGGAGAGGACGCAGATCTTTTCTCAAGGTATCGAAGATGCCAAGAAAAAGGCCGTCGATGAGTACATTGCTTCGCCAGTTTTTGATGATCTAATGGTGGATTCATATAGGAGGGGTTTTAAACTAAGCCGGTGGATGATCCAGAATACGTACCCCGAGCTCGATGTTAGCGCCATATCCACTTCGCGCATAACTCAGGAGATGGCTAATGCTGCTGACGCCGAGGGCGAGGCGAGGCCTTCAGGTTTTGTCGAAGTGCCTTCTGATGATGAGGAAATAGCTCATGGCTTGTAAATTTTTTTTTTTTGTACTACCCTACTTTTGGAATGGAATCACTTGTTTAAGTGCTAGTTATTCTTTCTCCCGAACTGAGCATATTTGCCGAACTAAACGTATTTTCCGAACTGACTGTACGTCCGGTCTGTTTTCTGCCCGGGTTACCGCACTCGCGCGGCCTGTTTTCTTGGCTTGCTTGTGCCGAGATTCCTTCGTTAGCTCGTCATCCTAGCCCGTAGGCTTTGGTGGTGATTTTATACACTTTTCTTGGCGGTCTATAGGTAGTATTGCCTTAGGTTGACAATGTTCCATGCTCGGGGTACTTGTTTTCCCTCTAGGGTTTCGAGCTCGTATGCCCCCCTGAGTGCTTTCTTTACTCGGTAGGGTCCTTCCCAATTTGGTCCGAGTTTTCCTACGCCGGGTTCGGGTACCATGACCTTACGGAGAGCCAAGTCGCCGACGCGGAAGTTCCTCTTCTTTACTCGCGCGTTATAGTACCGAGCTACCTTTTGCTGGTAGGCCGTAGTTTGGATGTGCGCGAGGTCTCTCACCTCGTCCAGTAGGTCGACGTTGGTGCGTAACTCGTCTTCGTTTGTCTGCTCGTCGTATGCTTCTAGTCGYAGCGTAGGTACTTCGATTTYCGTTGGGATTACCGCCTCGGTGCCGTAGG